CCTCTTGGTGCCCTGCATGCCTCTTGGTGCCCTGTATGCCTCTTGGTGCCCTGTATGCCTCTTGGTGCCCTGCATGCCTCTTGGTGCCCTGCATGCCTCTTGGTGCCCTGTATGTCTCGTGGGGCCCTGTATGCCTCTTGGTGCCCTGTATGCCCCTTGGTGCCCTGTATGTCTCTTGGTGCCCTGCATGCCTCTTGGTGCCCTGTATGTCTCTTGGTGCCCAGTATGTCTCTTGAGGCCCTGTATGCCTCTTGGTGCCCTGTATGCCTCTTGGTGCCCTGCATGCCTCTTGGTGCCCTGCATGCCTCGTGGTGCCCTGCATGCCTCTTGGTGCCCTGCATGCCTCTTGGTGCCCTGCATGCCTCTTGGTGCCCTGCATGCCTCTTGGTGCCCTGCATGCCTCTTGGGGCACTGCATGCCTCTTGGTGCCCTGCATGCCTCTTGGGGCACTGCATGCCTCTTGGTGCCCTGCATGCCTCTCAGAGCCCTGCATGCCTCGTGGTGCCCAGCATGCCTCTTGGTGCCCTGCATGCCTCCTGGTGCCCTGCATGCCTCGTGGTGCCCAGCATGCCTCTTGGCGCCCTGCATGTGTCTTGGTGCCCTGCATGCCTCTTGGGGCACTGCATGCCTCTTGGTGCCCTGCATGCCTCTTGGTGCCCTGCATGCCTCTTGGTGCTCTGCATGCCTCGTGGTGCCCAGCATGCCTCTTGGTGTCCTGCATGCCTCTTGGTGCACTGCATGCCTCGTGGTGCCCAGCATGCCTCTTGGTGCCCTGCATGCCTCTTGGTGCCCTGCATGCCTCTCAGAGCCCTGCATGCCTCGTGGTGCCCAGCATGCCTATTGGTGCCCTGCTTGCCTCTTGGTGCCCTGCATGCCTCTTGGTGCCCTGCATGCCTCGTGGTGCCCAGCATGCCTCTTGGTGCCCTGCATGCCTCTTGGTGCCCTGCATGCCTCGTGGTGCCCAGCATGTCTATTGGTGCCCTGCATGTCTCTTGGTGCCCTGCATGCCTCGTGGTGCCCAGCATGCCTCTTGGTGTCCTGCATGCCTCTTGGTGCCCTGTATGTTTCTTGGTGCCCTGTATGTCTCTTGAGGCCCTGTATGCCTCTTGGTGCCCTGTATGCCTCTTGGTGCCCTGCATGCCTCTTGGTGCCCTGTATGCCTCTTGGTGCCCTGCATGCCTCTTGGTGCCCTGTATGTCTCTTGGTGCCCAGTATGTCTCTTGAGGCCCTGTATGCCTCTTGGTGCCCTGTATGCCTCTTGGTGCCCTGCATGCCTCTTGGTGCCCTGCATGCCTCGTGGTGCCCTGCATGCCTCTTGGTGCCCTGCATGCCTCTTGGTGCCCTGCATGCCTCTTGGTGCCCTGCATGCCTCTTGGTGCCCTGCATGCCTCTTGGTGCCCTGTATGCCTCTTGGTGCCCTGTATGCCTCTTGGTGCCCTGCATGCCTCTTGGTGCCCTGCATGCCTCTTGGTGCCCTGTATGCCTCCTGGTGCCCTGTATGCCTCATGGTGCCCTGTATGTCTCTTGGTGCCCTGTATGTCTCTTGAGGCCCTGTATGCCACTTGGTGCCCTGTATGCCTCTTGGTGCCCTGCATGCCTCTTGGTGCCCTGCATGCCTCGTGGTGCCCTGCATGCCTCTTGGTGCCCTGCATGTCTCTTGGGGCCCTGCATGCCTCGTGGTGCCCAGCATGCCTCTTGGTTCCCTGCATGCCTCTTGGTGCCCTACATGCCTCGTGGTGCCCTGCATGCCTCTTGGTGCCCTGCATGCCTCTTGGTGCCTTGTATGTCTCTTGGGGCCCTGCATGCCTCGTGGTGCCCAGTATGTCTCTTGAGGCCCTGTATGCCTCTTGGTGCCCTGTATGCCTCTTGGTGCCCTGCATGCCTCTTGGTGCCCTGCATGCCTCGTGGTGCCCTGCATGCCTCTTGGTGCCCTGCATGCCTCTTGGTGCCCTGCATGCCTCTTGGTGCCCTGCATGCCTCTTGGTGCCCTGCATGCCTCTTGGGGCACTGCATGCCTCTTGGTGCCCTGCATGCCTCTTGGGGCACTGCATGCCTCTTGGTGCCCTGCATGCCTCTCAGAGCCCTGCATGCCTCGTGGTGCCCAGCATGCCTCTTGGTGCCCTGCATGCCTCCTGGTGCCCTGCATGCCTCGTGGTGCCCAGCATGCCTCTTGGCGCCCTGCATGCCTCTTGGTGCCCTGCATGCCTCTTGGGGCACTGCATGCCTCTTGGTGCCCTGCATGCCTCTTGGTGCCCTGCATGCCTCTTGGTGCCCTGCATGCCTCGTGGTGCCCAGCATGCCTCTTGGTGTCCTGCATGCCTCTTGGTGCACTGCATGCCTCGTGGTCCCCAGCATGCCTCTTGGTGCCCTGCATGCCTCTTGGTGCCCTGCATGCCTCTCAGAGCCCTGCAAGCCTCGTGGTGCCCAGCATGCCTCTTGGTGCCCTGCATGCCTCTTGGTGCCCTGCATGCCTCTTGGTGCCCTGCATGCCTCGTGGTGCCCAGCATGCCTCTTGGTGCCCTGCATGCCTCTTGGTGCCCTGCATGCCTCGTGGTGCCCAGCATGTCTCTTGGTGCCCTGCATGTCTCTTGGTGCCCTGCATGCCTCGTGGTGCCCAGCATGCCTCTTGGTGTCCTGCATGCCTCTTGGTGCCCTGTATGTTTCTTGGTGCCCTGTATGTCTCTTGAGGCCCTGTATGCCTCTTGGTGCCCTGTATGCCTCTTGGTGCCCTGCATGCCTCTTGGTGCCCTGTATGCCTCTTGGTGCCCTGCATGCCTCTTGGTGCCCTGTATGTCTCTTGGTGCCCAGTATGTCTCTTGAGGCCCTGTATGCCTCTTGGTGCCCTGTATGCCTCTTGGTGCCCTGCATGCCTCTTGGTGCCCTGCATGCCTCGTGGTGCCCAGCATGCCTCTTGGTGCCCTGCATGCCTCTTGGTGCCCTGCATGCCTCTTGGTGCCCTGCATGCCTCTTGGTGCCCTGCATGCCTCTTGGTGCCCTGTATGCCTCTTGGTGCCCTGTATGCCTCTTGGTGCCCTGCATGCCTCTTGGTGCCCTGCATGCCTCTTGGTGCCCTGTATGCCTCTTGGTGCCCTGTATGCCTCTTGGTGCCCTGTATGTCTCTTGGTGCCCTGTATGTCTCTTGAGGCCCTGTATGCCACTTGGTGCCCTGTATGCCTCTTGGTGCCCTGCATGCCTCTTGGTGCCCTGCATGCCTCGTGGTGCCCTGCATGCCTCTTGGTGCCCTGCATGTCTCTTGGGGCCCTGCATGCCTCGTGGTGCCCAGCATGCCTCTTGGTTCCCTGCATGCCTCTTGGTGCCCTACATGCCTCGTGGTGCCCTGCATGCCTCTTGGTGCCCTGCATGCCTCTTGGTGCCCTGTATGTCTCTTGGGGCCCTGCATGCCTCGTGGTGCCCTGCATGCCTCTTGGTGCCCTGCATGCCTCTTGGTGCCCTGTATGTCTCTTGGTGCCCTACATGCCTCGTGGTGCCCTGCATGCCTCGTGGTGCCCAGCATGCCTCTTGGTGCCCTGCATTCCCTCGTGGTGCCCAGCATGCCTCTTGGTGCCCTGCATGCCTCGTGGTGCCCAGCATGCCTCTTGGTGCCCTGCATTCCCTCGTGGTGCCCTGCATGCCTCTTGGTGCCCTGCATGCCTCTTGGTGCCCTGCATGCCTCTTGGTGCCCTGTATGTCTCGTGGGGCCCTGTATGCCTCTTGGTGCCCTGTATGCCCCTTGGTGCCCTGTATGTCTCTTGGTGCCCTGTATGTCTCTTGGTGCCCTGTATGCCTCGTGGTGCCCTGCATGCCTCGTGGCGCCCTGCATGCCTCTTGGTGCCCTGCATGCCTCTTGGTGCCCTGTATGTCTCTTGGGGCCCTGAATGCCTCTTGGTGCCCTGTATGCCACTTGGTGCCCTGTATGTCTCTTGGTGCCCTGTATGTTTCTTGGGGCCCTGTATGCCTCGTGGTGCCCTGCATACCTCGTGGCGCCCTGCATGCCTCTTGGTGCCCTGTATGTCTCTTAGGGCCCTGTATGCCTCTTGGTGCCCAGCATGTCTCTTGGTGCCCTGCATGCCTCTTGGTGCCCTGCATGCCTCTTGGTGCCCAGCATGCCTCGTGGTGCCCTGCATGCCTCTTGGTGCCCTGCATGCCTCTTGGTGCCCTGTATGTCTCTTGGGGTCCTGCATGCCTCGTGGTGCCCAGCATGCCTCTTGGTTCCCTGCATGCCTCTTGGTGCCCTGCATGCCTCGTGGTGCCCTGCATGCCTCTTGGTGCCCTGTATGTCTCTTGGGGCCCTGCATGTCTCGTGGTGCCCTGCATGCCTCTTGGTGCCCTGCATGCCTCTTGGTGCCCTGCATGCCTCGTGGTGCCCTGCATGCCTCTTGGTGCCCTGCATGCCTCTTGGTGCCCTGCATGCCTCTTGGTGCCCTGCATACCTCTTGGTGCCCTGTATGTCTCTTGGGGCCCTGCATGCCTCGTGGTGCCCTGCATGCCTCTTGGTTCCCTGCATGCCTCTTGGTGCCCTGCATGCCTCGTGGTGCCCTGCATGCCTCTTGGTTCCCTGCATGCCTCTTGGTGCCCTGCATGCCTCGTGGTGCCCTGCATGCCTCTTGGTGCCCTGCATGCCTCTTGGTGCCCTGCATGCCTCTTGGTGCCCTGCATGCCTCTTGGTGCCCTGTATGTCTCTTGGGGCCCTGCATGCCTCGTGGTGCCCTGCATGCCTCTTGGTGCCCTGCATGCCTCTTGGTGCCCTGCATGCCTCTTGGTGCCCTGCATGCCTCTTGGTGCCCTGTATGTCTATTGGTGCCCTGCATGCCTCTTGGGGCCCTGCATGCCTCGTGGTGCCCTGCATGCCTCTTGGTGCCCTGCATGCCTCTTGGTGCCCTGCATGCCTCTTGGGGCCCTGCATGCCTCTTGGGGCCCTGCATGCCTCTTGGTGCCCTGCATGCCTCTTGGGGCCCTGCATGCCTCTTGGGGCCCTGCATGCCTCTTGGTGCCCTGCATGCCTCTTGGTATCCATGCACCAAGAACACCTCTTGGTGCTCTTGATGAGCTCCATCTGTAACAGTGAGACACGACCCTTGAAGAACACCTGCTGTAACAGTGAGACACGACCCTTGTGGAACACCTGCTGTAGGAGTGAGACACGACCCTTGAGGAACACCTGCTGTAGGAGTGAGACACGACCCTTGAGGAACACCTGATGTAACAGTGAGACACGACCCTTGAGGAACACCTGCTGTAGGAGTGAGACACGACCCTTGAGGAACACCTGCTGTAGGAGTGAGACACGACCCTTGAGGAACACCTGATGTAACAGTGAGACACCACCCTTGAGGAACACCTGCTGTAGGAGTGAGACACGACCCTTGAGGAACACCTGCTGTAGGAGTGAGACACGACCCTTGAGGAACACCTGCTGTAGGAGTGAGACACGACCCTTGAAGAACACCTGCTGTAACAGTGAGACACGACCCTTGAGGAACACCTGCTGTAACAGTGAGACACGACCCTTGAGGAACACCTGCTGTAGGAGTGAGACACGACCCTTGAGGAACACCTGCTGTAACAGTGAGACAGGACCCTTGAGGAACACCTGCTGTAGCAGTGAGACACGACCCTTAAGGAACACCTGCTGTAGCAGTGAGACACGACCCTTGAGGAACACCTGCTGTAGCAGTGAGACAGGACCCTTGAGGAACACCTGCTGTAACAGTGAGACACGACCCTTGAGGAACACCTGCTGTAGGAGTGAGACACGACCCTTGAGGAACACTTGCTGTAGGAGTGAGACACGACCCTTGAGGAACACCTGCTGTTGCAGTGAGACACGACCCATGAGGAACACCTGCTGTAGGAGTGAGACACGACCCTTGAGGAACACCTGCTGTAGGAGTGAGACACGACCCTTGAGGAACACCTGCTGTAGCAGTGAGACACGACCCTTGAGGAACACCTGATGTAGCAGTGAGACACGACCCTTGAGGAACACCTGCTGTAGCAGTGAGACACGACCCTTGAGGAACAACTGCTGTAACAGTGAGACACGACCCTTGAGGAACACCTGCTGTAGCAGTGAGACACGACCCTTGAGGAACACCTGCTGTAGCAGTGAGAACCGACCCTTGAGGAACACCTGCTGTAGCAGTGAGACACGACCCTTGAGGAACACCTGCTGTAGGAGTGAGACACGACCCTTGAGGAACACCTGATGTAGCAGTGAGACACGACCTCTGAGGAACACCTGCTGTAGCAGTGAGACACGACCCTTGAGGAACACCTGATGTAGCAGTGAGACACGACCCTTGAGGAACACCTGATGTAGCAGTGAGACACGACCCTTGAGGAACACCTGATGTAGCAGTGAGACACGACCCTTGAGGAACACCTGATGTAGCAGTGAGACACGACCCTTGAGGAACACCTGATGTAGCAGTGAGACACGACCCTTGAGGAACACCTGATGTAGCAGTGAGACACGACCCTTGAGGAACACCTGATGTAGCAGTGAGACACGACCCTTGAGGAACACCTGATGTAGCAGTGAGACACGACCCTTGAGGAACACCTGATGTAATAGTGAGACACGACCCTTGAGGAACACCTGATGTAATAGTGAGACACGACCCTTGAGGAACACCTGATGTAGCAGTGAGACACGACCCTTGAGGAACACCTGATGTAGCAGTGAGGCACGACCCTTGAGGAACACCTGATGTAATAGTGAGACATGACCCTTGAGGAACACCTGATGTAATAGTGAGACACGACCCTTGAGGAACAGCAGCAGTAGTGTGAATGGCTCTAGAGTCTTTATGCAAAATAACGTTGTATTTTCATATTATTTTAGGAAATTACTTAATCACAAAACAATTTGAAAAACTTAATATATAGCATAACGTATTTTGATAAGAGCATCTCTTGTTGATATAGCACAACTGTGGCGATCAACCAATATGACAATTAAGTCGTACTAAGTTTTGATTTGATATAAATTTAACATTAATAACCTAGATACATTTGATGGTATAAATATTTATAACTTCCAATGTTTCAATATTAAACATTTTGTGAAGTCTTGTGACGCTGAGGCCAGAAGACTTAGCACTTGAAAACATTAATTTATTGGTTGATCTGTTCCCCTCTCTTTTCTCTTTGTAGCAGTAAGTGAGTGAGCATCTTGCATCATAATAATATACATATGAATAGTTCACAATGTATATAATGATATGTAATGATGTAATGCGTATTTAATTAAACCTTCATTAACTTTCAGTGGGTGATGTGTGGGTGGGAGTGCGAGGCTCTAACTGGATGAGTTCTGGGGTGTTGGTCAACTCATCACAGTGGCACTCAGGGGAGCCCAACAACGGCCCCACTGCGTGCTCCCGCCTGGCCGCCCGCCCCAGCACCCCGGCCGGCAAGACCTATCTGCTCGCTGACGATTACTGTTATAGAGTCTACACTTTCCTATGTCAAAAGTAGAGAGTTCACACAATGATGAGACTGCTTGACTTCACCATGTATCAGAGTCTAGGAGTAACCTGGGTCACAAGATGACGTCTAAAATGAGCAAGACCTACACACTGGTGCTGCTGTTACATGAGCAGCAGTGAGTTACAAGACCTACACACTGCTGTTGTTACATGAGCAGCAGTGTGAGTTACAAGACCAACACACTGCTGCAGCTGTTACATGAGCAGCAGTGTGAGTTACAAGACCTACACACTGCTGCTGTTTCATGAACAGCAGTGTGAGTTACATGACCTTCACACCCTGCTGCTGTTACATGAACAGCAGTTTGAGTTACAAGACCTTCACACACTGCTGCTGTTACATGAACAGCAGTGTGAGTTACAAGACCTACACACTGCTGCTGTTACATGAACAGCAGTGTGAGTTATGAGACCTAAAGACCTACACACTGCTGTTGTTACATGAGCAGCAGTGTGAGTTACAAGACCTACACACTGCTGCAGCTGTTACATGAGCAGCAGTGTGAGTTACAAGACATTCACACACTGCTGCTGTTACATGAGCAGCAGTGTGAGTTACAAGACCAACACACTGCTACTGGTACATGAGCAGCAGTGTGAGTTACAAGACCAACACACTGGTGCTGCTGTTACATGAGCAGCAGTGTGAGTTACAAGACCAACACACTGGTGCTGCTGTTACATGAGCAGCAGTGTGAGTTACAAGACCAACACACTGCTGCAGCTGTTACATAAGCAGCAGTGTGAGTTACAAGACCAACACACTGCTGCAGCTGTTACATGGGCAGCAGTGTGAGTTACAAGACCAACACACTGCTGCAGCTGTTACATGGGCAGCAGTGTGAGTTACAAGACCAACACACTGCTGCAGCTGTTACATGGGCAGCAGTGTGAGTTACAACATAATGAACAACTCAGACTACAGACAACCTAACTTAAACAACTTCAGAAGCTCAAATTATATCAAATTTCGCCCCCCCCCCAACCCCCTGATACTCTCAGACTAGTTCCAATGGTGCCGATAGTTCTGATGGTGCCTTTGGTGTTGATGGTGCCGATGGTGCTGATGGTGCTGATAGTGACGATGGTGCCTTTGGTGCTGATGGTGCCGATGGTTCTGATGGTGTCGATGGTGCCGATTGTGCTGATAGTGACGATGGTGCCGATGGTGCCGATGGTGCTGATGGTGCTGATGGTGCCGATGGTGTTGATGGTGTTGATGGTGTTGATGGTGCCGATGGTGTTGATGGTGTTGATGGTGTTGATGGTGCCGATGGTGCCGATGGTGTTGATGGTGCCGATAGTGTTGATGGTGTTGATGGTGTTGATGGTGCCGATGGTGCCGATGGTGTTGATGGTGTTGATAGAGTTGATGGTGTTGATGGTGCCCATTGTGTTGATGGTGCCGATGGTGCTGTTGGATATTTCCAACACCGAATTCACACTGTTGTATTCTCACTACTTATTACTAACTCTACTAATTATTGTAGTAAGTAAAATTAACACCACGTAGAATTCTCATGTACTAATAATTTCATCTGTGCAGTAGGCTAGAATTCTCACGTCACCCGACGCCAGTATTGCGTCAGATTTCCTTACAATAAACACATTATATCCAATGTATTTGAGAATTAAATTCGATTCTCTATAACTGAGGCATTCTGTATGATAATTAATTACAGATGAATTGACCTCCAACTAAAAGCCGAATAGAGTGTTGGAGTCATAGCAATTATCTAGTAATAAAAGTTAACGTCAAGAGTGAATGCCATGGAGAGACATTAATTCCTCTCCCTTATATGTTTACTATCGCTAAACTGGCAAATAATAATATTTTCCTCTTCTAAATAATAAACCCGTCCAGTCTTCAACGTTTCGAGCGTAAATGCGAGAAATATTAATGTTCGTGACAATAATTTGTTTGATGAACGCGGGACGCGGCGTGGGTTGAGGAGGCTTGCCAGTGCGCGTCTAGAGGAGCTCTGAGGTAGACCTGCTCTCACCGTACTCACGAGGAGACCCCATTGCCCAGCCATTAGGGCAGACGTTATCCATCCTCAGATGAAAGTCGCCACTGTGAGGCGTGAATAACCTTGCAGATAATATCTTCAACTGTTGCTGGTGTCATATAAGGAACCTCTTTAACCTGGTTCTTGACGACACGTGACCGGCCAGTGAAGCGCACCACGATCCAGGATAGGCCTAGCCAGAACCTGGGGACGCAAATTTCGGCAATCTTAAAACTTATACAGTGCCCTTTAGCTAAGTAAATTCTCTTTATTTGATGCATCTTGTAAAGTGTTTTGTGGTAGCTGGGTGATTGACCGTGACGACGCACGATAACATCAAACTACAGATTATTAATTTTATCACCTGTAATTCTCAAATTCTTGAATATATAGATTCAGTAGTTTAATTAGTTGCTACTGTAAATATTTGTCTTGCAGCACGTGAGAAGAATTCTCCCTGCCGCCTTCTCCCATGTTAATCCATCCCATTCGTCAACCAGCCGAGTCCAGGGAATTAGAGGAATCGTCGTGGCTTACATAAAGGAATCGTCGTGGCTTACATAAAGGAATCGTCTTTAACCCTTAAACTGCGCATGGCGTATATATACGCCCTGAGTAACATGTCCCATGGTGCGCATGGCGTATATATACGCCATAGGGTGCCAGGCCTGATTCAAATGGCCCGCGGCTACACGGGGTTCACAGTAGCTTCCTCAGGGCTCTTGTAAATAGATGCCATTTTAAAAAAAATCGTGGGCAATATTCTCAGGTGTGAGAGGCACAGTACTGTTGGAGCAACCAAGGCCGGCGCATGCAGCATGAGCGAACAGCATTGATGTTCAGCTTGTGACCACAGCATCGCCGAAAAATGTCAAAATAAATATATAATTGTTATTATTTAGCGATGACAATATTACAGATGACCAATGACTGTGATATAAATAACTAGGGTTGTGATAATAGCAGGATTGTTGTAATAATTAGCGCTGTGGGAGGAGTGATGCTGAGAGACGGAGGGAGACAGCATCGTTTACTGACTGTGTGGCCACCTGTTATTGTTTGCATTCACCATACCAGGTCAGTGGTTCTCTATGGTGAACACAAATGTAGATACTTATATATAATGTGTGTATTAGTGTAATAACAGCAAAAGGATTATGCTGGGAGGAGCCATATGGGTGACGGAGGTGACGTCGTCTGCACGATTTGTCTAGCTGTTTAGAGGGTGGCCACTATGCTCTTTGGGCGCACTACAAGCTTAGGTGTACAGTTACGGTGCATAAAACATGTAGATATTTATATATAATATGTGTATATAGGGTAATAACACTGCAAAAGGTATTGTTGGGGGAGAAAGTTTAGTGCGTGTGACCTTGAAAGTGAGGGAGCCGCCAGCCGCCATCTGTGTATAGCGACGACTCTTAGTGCCTGAACTAACTATATCAGCTTAGCTGTACAGTTGTGGTGAACAAAATATACACATACTTATATATAACTTCTGTATATAGTGTAATAACACCACAACTGGTATTGTTGGGGGAGAAAGTTTAGTGCGTGTGACCTTGAATGAGTGAGGGAGCCGCCATCTGTGTATAGCGACGACTCTTAGTGATGGAACTAACTATATCAGCTTAGCTGTACAGTTGTGGTGAACAAAATATACACATACTTATATATAACGTCTGTATATAGTGTAATAACACCACAACTGGTATTGTTGGGGGAGAAAGTTTAGTGCGTGTGTTGAGGGAGTGGCAGCGAGTGGCTGGCTGGTGTGTGGCGGTAACTCCTCGTTGCTTTTCGACTCTCAATACCAACTTAGTGGTTTGTTATGGTGACCAAAACATGCCAATACTTATATATAACCTGTGTATAGAGTGTAATAGCAGCAAAATTTTTTGTTTATTGTTTTATAAACATAATAATTGAATCACAAATATGCACATCATACTTTTGAGTATAGCGATTATTAACCACTTTTATTATATAAATATATTACAATACACACTATTGAATAATATTACTGCAAAAAAACTAAGAAAAAATCAATCGGAGACATTGAAACAATTAGGTAATAATATCTTTGTGGCAACTCCCATCTGTCAACGTGGGTGACGCTGACCGGGTCTGACGACCGCTCTGTCAACGCCCACTTTTTGCCAGACTTCCTCGGTCAATTGCGCCCAAAATATGTCACCTACGATTTTTTTTTATTTTTTCCGTGCTCAGGGGACACAAATTAACATGTTTAGAAGACGAAAAAAAATTTTTGAATTTTTTTTTTCTTGCGCACAGGGGTGTAAATG